GGAATCCTTAAAGCTGGAACTTATAAGCTAATTTAACTTTCTATATGCATGTCCCTCGTTATAAAGAATTTGCCACTGTGAACTGAAAGCCTAAAAAGGAGTTACCATATACATATATTCATACACAAGCATCCTTAGACTAATAGACACAGCTTACCAAGATTGAAGCTCACTGACATGACAAAATGCATAAAGCAAAATCATATCTCATCTGCTAAAAGACCCTGAAAACTCATTTGCCCCTATATGCAATACAATAATTCTGAAAATGAATGAGAAATAAATGTACATATTATGCATGTCCTCAAATTATAAGATTTTCTCATCCTGTGGTTGACCATATCCACTCCCTTACTATATAGGATCGAATTGGAATCTCCAGCAGTAAAATTTGAAATAGATGATTTTAAAATTCCACTGCAAGCATCAAGGATAGAGGCTTGCGTGTGAATAAGAAACCAAGGTTTCTATGAATCCCCCCTAGAACATCAAATGTAGTATCATTAATTTCAAAAATTAAGAAAAAGAACCTGTACAAAATCATGCATTTTCTCTCTTTATCATTTGAATGTGTACAAACCTCATAATAACTATCACAAAAGAAACCTCTAGTATTCTAGTATTCTATTTACAGAATAATTTGCTGCGATCCATTTTAAGCTTAACCGGAAAGCAATTAATAAGCACTGAAGTCTAGTAAAATTCTTTAATTATTGAATTTTTACGTTCTTAAATCTGTGCAGGAGGGACTCTATTGATCTTTGTACCTTGGAGCTTTCTGCTTGCCTGAAGCCTCAGCTGCCTGGTGTAAACTTCTGATTCCACGACCCAAACTAGCAACTGATGGAGCCACAGGAAAGGTCTCTGCAGCACATTCAATTCCATCTCCATAGAGTAGCAAGCCTGTGCAAGTAGCAATACTACATCCAAAGGTAGCCCAGGGCAAAACTCCAATGGGTCTGTCTCGGTGTTTCCTCATTATTTCATAAAAAGCTGTTCTCATGGCAGAAAGACTAGTTTTCTCTGCAGACGCTATAACACTGTAAGATATGGTTCAGATTTTCTCAGCAGACACAGCAGCCTTTAGGGTAGAACTTTTCAACGCAGAACTCCCCATTCCTGGGGCTACGACTATTGTTGGACCAAGACCCTTGCCAAGTGCAAAAACAATCTTTTGTGTTTGAGTCAACAAAAGTTTTAGTGAAGTTGGGACATGAAAGGTTGCAATTTTGACAAAAGTTGATGCTGGAATAACTTTAGAGAGGGAAGA